GCATCATCATCACTCGTATGAGGCGCCATCTGTTTCAGTTCGTCTTCCTTCGGAAACACGTGCATTCCGGTCTCCCGCCAAGGCTGTCCATGGGAACTTCTGTCAGCCATCTCTCCCATATCTGCAAAGGGAGGACGACTCACTGCCACAAAGGACAAAGCCGATCTGATGGGCTCTCTATTAGCGTCCAACTCGACTCTTGATGGCGAGGGAACACACCGTCGACCATCAGGAGTGAGTGTTCCATGCAGGATGTCCTGTTTACCCAACGCTCAATGCGCAGAGCATTCCTCTCCCTGGACGTCAACAAGTCGAGTTGGTCCTATAATGCTGAAGACGTGTGCTCCGAAGTTAGCACCGGTTTTAACGCGTCTTTTCCGGTATTTCTACTCCTTCGGTGTAGTCCCTAAATCATGGAAGACAGTCCTCGTGCATCCGATCTCTAAAATTGGTCTATATTTGTTTTGGTTCTATATTGGCCCTATCGCCATCACCTTCTTGTTCTCTAAAATAATGGAATTCATTATTAACAGCCAGCTCATGCGGTACCTTGAAGATCACCAGCTCATTAGTGACCGCCAGTACGGTTTCCGTCGCGGTCGCTTGGCTGGTGATCTACTGGGTTACCTAACTCATAAATAGGTTGAGGCAGTAGAGTTCAAGGGGGCGTTGGCCGTTAGTTTGGACATAACGAAGGCCTTCGATCGGGTTTGGCACAAAGCGCTTTTTACGAAGCTTTATCCTATGGGCTTCCCGAGAAATTGTGCAATTGGATCACCAGTTTTCTTGCTGATCGGAGCATCAAGGTCATAGTAGACGGTGCATGCTCCGATTACAAGCCCATTAACGCTGGTGTTCCACAAGGCTGCGTGCTATCACCAACGCTCTTTCTTCTGCATATCAATGACATGTTGCAAATCGGTAGCATTCATTGCTATGCAGACGACAGCATTGGTGATGCTTCATATACCGGCCGTGCCAATATTTCTCGGGAAAACGTCGCCGAGTACCGGGACAAACTTGTGTCTGTAGTCGAGACTTTGTTGAACAAAATCTCGGACTGGGGGCGACTAAATCTGGTCCAGTTTAATCCCCAGACGACACAAGTTTGCGCGTTTACCGCTAAAAAGAACCCCTTCGTCGTATCTCCTCAGTTTCAAGGCACTCCCCTTGTTGCCTCAGCCAGTATCGGAACCCTCGGCGTAGACATATCGAGTGACGTGCAGTTTCGTGGTCATTTGGAAGATAAGGCCAAATTGACCTCTAAAAAGCTTGACGTGCTCAGCAGGACGGGACAGTATTTTATGCCGGCTCACCGCCTGCAACTTTAAAAGGCGCAGGTTCGGCCGCACATGGAATACTGTTCCCATCTCAGGGCCGGGTTCCCCAGTACCAGCTCCTATTTGATCGCATCCTGCGCAGAGCAGTTCGAATCGTCGGCGACCGAGCTTTTTCCGTTCGGCTTGACTCACTGGCACTGCGAAGAGATGTTGCATCTTTTTGCGTATTTTATCGCATTTACCACGGGGAGTGCTCTGAGGAATTGTTCGGACTAATTCCAGCCGCACAGTTTCACCATCGCATATCGCGACAAAACTCGCGATACCATCTATACCATCTGGATGAATGGCGGTCCACCACTAAACGATTTAAAAGAAGTTTTCTTCCTCGCACAACTTACTTGTAAAATCAACTACCACCAGAGATTTTTCCGGACCGATAAGACTTAGGAACCTTCAAGAAAAGAGTCTATTCCTTTTAAAAAGGCTGGTAACGCATCTTCAATCCCCCTGGTGTTGCAGCTGTTCATGGGCGACGGTAATCACTTACCATTAGCTGAGCTGTATGCTCGTTTGCCCCCTCTCCTATTAAAAAAAGTCGACTGAGAGGTCAATCGATGAATTCAACTCGGCGTTCGGGAGATTAACTAGCACACATCTCGACACATATTACCTCAAAAATCGAAAACAAGATTATACAACCATTGCGTGTTGCCAGTGATGACATATGGATACTCAGTGGCCCTTAACTGCTGGCCGTATGAGAAAGCTCAAGGTCGCTCAGCAAGCTTCGGAGAGAGCTACGCTTGGGGTTTCTCTACGTGATAAACTTAGAAATGAGGATATCCGCAGTAGAACCAGAGTAACCGACATAGCCCAATGAATTAGTAAGCTGAAGTGGCAATGGGCTGCCCATATAAATATATAGCTCGGAAGAACAACCGATGGGAAAGAAAGGTTCTAGAATGGCAGCCCAGTACTGGTAAGCGAAGTATATGGTGGTCCCAGATACTAACGGAGTGACGTCCTGGCCAGTACTGATGGCGTGACGTCCCGGTAAGATATTATACAGGAAATCGATGAATGCAGGTGGCTTAGGACCGTGCTTTGTGGCATTCCTTGGGGTAGGCCTATGTTCAGCAGTAAACTCGTAAGGACTGTAACATATAATACTATAATACGCAATATAATAGCTGTCAATTTTATTTTCGGAGATCGGCGTCGCCGGAAGCACACATACAAGCAATTACGTCGTATTATCACTTCTATAAACCCAATTGTCTGTGTCGACAGACTGAGCGAATGGGCAAATTTTAGACTTTTGATTAATGTTGTGTGTTAAATTTTAATACATATTTATCTGTAAATATTGTGCAAACTAATCGTAAATAAAATCTCAGTAAGTATATTTTTTTTCTTATAGTAAATAAAAAGTTGTTGATGTTTAATGACATTTCTTTGTTTACATTTCAGATTTCTAAGTATGAATTAGACTATAGTAATTTTCTTAACAAAAACCTTTAATGACAAAATAACATTTTTGATGATTTGGTCATTTTTATGTAACTTATTTTATTTCAGAAAAAAACAATATTTAAAGATTGTAAATATTAGAAAACTTACAATTACACTTAGGACTATAAAATATGGACGGAACATTTTAGACAGATTTAAAAAAACATAAAATAAAATTATGCACATCTTATAAATATTTGACTTTAGATTAAATTGACATAGAGAAAAGCAGACAAACTGTTTAATACAAATACAAAGCTCATTTGGACGGTAGAAAATACATTAAAAATAAAATATAAAATCTAAGTATAGTTATTAAATGCCACACTATTCAATATATACACTAGTCAATATTGACAAAATTATCTTGTAATAAAATTACAAAGATAAATCTAAAATTCACCTTTTGAACAATTAATTTTTTTAAATATTTATAATTAGGATTATAAATAGTTATTTCCATAATTGTATATCTTATTTAATAAAGAAAATACACACTATTTTAATAAAGAGAATACATACTATTTTCTTAAATCCTTTATCGGTCCTTTACAAGACACAGTGGGCCATGACCCTCTCCTTGTGTAGGGTGGATTTGTCTTGTCATACTTGGCAGGCAAATGGATGATTTCAGTGCCAGACGTCTCATACCAGGGGATGAAACTTCCACACAAATTCAGGAGAATAGAATATACACATTTGAAAGTTCTGCAGTCTAGTGAGCGGGGTACATAAACTTGTAGTATAGTTTGTTAAGCGTTGTAAAAATGGCGTTCATTATGTAAAACGGGTTTTTACCTAATGATCCAAAAAAACAAAAAGTTTGAATTGACAATTCATAACAATTTTTAATACAATTCGTTCGCAGTTCTTACAAATTTAATTAAAAGTTATGTTGCTGGGTATTTAGTTCATAAGTGTATAAAAAATACATAAGAAATGATATGTGTAAAATGCATAACTACCCAATTATATTTTAGAAAGAGACTGTAAAAAGGTCCTGTAAATATCCATCCATGTTGTGTTCATTCATAGATGAAGATTGTTTAATAATTCAAACATAATTGATTGAAGAACCACAAATACAGAATATTAAAGATACAATAACTCAGAAAACGAAAATATTTTGCGACGTTTCATTTCTCTCCTGTGAAAATCATAATTAGAGGTTTTTTGATTATTTATCAGATTTCTTCATCTTTGATATCAATAAAAAAAAAATCTTATGTGAAATAGGCTAAGCTTAATCAGAGTCAATGTTATCTACAAAATTTCCATATGGATATTTGGGATTATTATTTGATATATCCAATAAATATAATTTTTTGTCTAAATGTAAAGAGACATGGTAGCTCAATTGGATAGTTTTCATTATAAATACCACAGTACACGAGTAACCCTGGTTCAATCTCCGCTGGCATCAATAAAATTGTTAATTGGAAGTTTAACTAGTTATTAACAAAGTGCTTGGCAGGACGGTGCTTTTTTGTAACTTTATATCCAATAATTTTATTATCAATGTCATAAATTTCAATAATCAGGATAGTAATTGCATAAAATACTCCATCTAGCGAAATTCTACCGCAGGCTGCATTTTACTAAAGAATACAGCGTCATCTAGAGTGCAGGTTACACTATTTCGAAAACTGAAATGTGAGTGACGCATCTATCTCTAGTATATCTATGTCCCATACCACTGACCACCACTAATAATAATTTATGTCTATAGTAAACAAGCTGGCTCCATCTTTCTGGAGACTTTATTAGTTGCCTCTTCTGGCCAGCAACTTAACAGCGGTTACTCTCTTTAAGGGAAGAACTTAAATATATTAAATAAAATTTTAAACTAATACACATGTCATATTACATAGCATAAAAATAACTACATATCTAAACTTTAGACATTATATTTGGATTATATAATTGTATTTCTTTTAATATTAATTAGATTTATTTTATAGTAACAACCTGTAAGCAACTTAAACAAGCCACTTTAATGAAAGTATCAAGCTTGGATGAAATTACCCCTCTGCCTAATGTTGGCTATAAATGACATCACTTGTAATACAAATCTTTTTATATTTATGTATTTTATTACATATAACATTCCTTCATAAGCAACTTTCTGTTCCAAAAAACAGAACTGTAATGTAAAAACATTACAATAAAACGGGTAGGTAATAGGAAAAACTGCAGGACAAAATTTTAATCTATTAATCTGAGAAGAATAAAACCTCCCAACAGCAAACCTAGAATTGGTTTTAAGTTACCAATTCCACTCTGAAATAAAATCAGATTATTAATATACTTTATGACGTGAAATTACAAAGACATAATATTAACAAATGAATTAACTTACTATTATATAGTAATTACAGCGATCACCTTGACAGCAATCTGAGCATACCCAATCCTGATACCAAATATGAGTACATAAAGACATATAACGTTCTCTGGTTGTTGCGCATTCTGTTCGATTTGAACAACGTTTTGACACATAATACTGTTTTTTAGCACCTTGTGACCAATATGGTGTACTACCCCATCGAATTTCAGTAAAACAAACGTCTTGACCATATACACAAGTTGCGATAGTTTTAACACATTTTTCATTATTATCTTCCTGGTTTTCACATACATAACACTCAAGGCTATTAACTGAAAGAAGTGTTAAGTAGTGTTTTAAATTATTAAATTTTCGCGGTGCTAACGAACGTAAAGTAAACAAGTATATTACAAGATAAAACTTACCTTTTAAAATCGACATAAAAACTGTTGTTAGTGTAATAATGGAAACAATATTTATCTCCATTTTAATTGAACTTCATAAGTTTATTTAAATTCTTAAAATTCATTAAATTTCTAAGGGTGTGGCAAGCTGTAAAAGTAAAGCCCAGATCTTGCATACAACTAAATGGCCAGTAAAGCTAAAGCCTCCCGTAGATAGACCCTGTTTTGTTTATGACAGCATACTATCCCAGTGTTGCCAGATTTTTTTCACCTTCCCCTAGATTTTTCCAAAAAACCCCTAGTTTCCCTATGTAGGGGGATAAAAAACCTCTGAATTTTTATTCGGTCAAGTTTCGTGTGAATCAGAGAGGGCAGATCACAGAATAACGATTGGCCTCTGTTCGAAAATGATAGTTTGTGCATGAGTATAACATGTCGCGAGCTGTGCACCAATCCAAGATTGTGGTTAATCTTGGATTCGAGATACATTATTAATTTCGGGCGTTAGTAGTCTGTGTGACATCAGTATGCTGTATGACAGTTACAGTGTTACCATTTACCAATTCCAACAAATATTTCCCCCATAAGGTTAAGTCAAAAACCCCTAAAATCACATTATTTATTTGAAAATCCCCTACATTATTACAGTGCTTTGTAGTGTTATTTATATATGTATGATGCGCTATTATGTTGCAATGTGAATTAGGTCATCATCACACTTGGTAGCATTTCAATAGATAACAAGAAATTGCAATCGTGATAATTTAATGCAAAACACAATCCGGATTTTAAGACATTTTCAAAATGTATTTACAACCACCGGGCATACCTCAAAATCTCAAAACTAGATCGTGCAATCAGTGCGTGTTGCCAGTAATGACCTATGGATCCGAGAAGTGGTCCTTCACTGCCGGCCGGATGAGGAAGTTCAAAGTCGCTCAGCGAGCTATGGAGAGGACTATGCTCGAAGTTTCTCTGTGTGATAAACTTAGAAATGAGGATATTCACAGTAGAACCAGAGTAACCGACATAGCCCAACGGATTAGTAAACTGAAGTGGCAAGGGATGAGCCACATAGCTCAAAGAACCGATAACCGATGTGGAAAAAAGGTTCACGAGTGGCAGCCTCATGACGGCGGGCGAAGTGTGGGGCGCTCCCCACTAGATGGAATGACGACCTGCTAAGACATGCAGGAAGTCGATGGATGCAGGTGGCTCTGGACCGTGCTTTGTGGCATTCCTTGGGGGAAGCCTACGGTCAGCAGTGGACTTGTGAAGGGCTGTAATAATGATGATGATGAGTCTGTGGGTTTATACAAAGGTACTCTGCATAGACTAATATATAGTACTAGACTATTATATATACAATTAAAAACATAACAATTCTGATTTTATTATGCTAATATGTAGTCTGTGCTGATATATTTTTTTATTTAACTGGCTTTACAGCTCTCGGTACTAGCCCTTCTGAGCTTATCATTTCTTTCATAATCTTCATTTTATATATTTTTTCTTCACAATATGCTGATGAGTCACATTGCGAAGTTTTTGGGAGATTTTGACGACAGCTCAACCCAGCGGACTGTTGATGACGACAGCCACTCAAGTTCATAAGGCGCCCAAGCGATCAAATTAACTTGAGGTTTATATCAAAATCAAAGCACTTGTTTCTTTGTTTTCTCTAATAGTTCACACGCGCAGACACTTAATTCACAAAATCACAACGATTTTACGAATTAAAATCCACTTCAAACTATTATTCAAGCGACAAAACAGGAGCGACAGTCCGTCGTCGGCCAAGTTCCCACCAAAACTCCTCTGTGCTAATATGTAACGCATGTAGTATGGCATGTAGAGGTAAGGAGTACGGAATTTGTATAAAAAAGTGTCCGTAGGAAAGCAGTAAATAAGGGTGGCGCCACTGTAGCTATAGACTAAATTTTAAAGAACTTTTTGTATTTTTTTTTATTGCACCAACTTTATAATTTTTTATTGACTCACCATAATTCGTTTTACAATAATTAATTTATTGCTTTCAAAACTTTTATTTTCAAAATCACTCTCAACGTATTTTACGGCGATTTGTCATACCCTGTAGCTACTCGAGCGCTATTGTGATGAGTTTTTCAACTGTTATTTACTGCTTACAAATGGACACATTTTCAACTATTCTCCTATGGGATATTGTCCTCCTTACCTCTATACTCCATAGCATGTAGTCTGATTACGTGTATTATTCTCTTAACCTTATATTAATTAATTAATTTAAAAAGATATTAAAAGCACAGATTAATAAATAGTTTACCAACACATACATCACTTCCATACAAAAGCGAAAATACCTACGCTATAATAGCCTACAAAATCTTAATAATAATATCTGCTGCTCGTAGCGAGAAAAAATCTACTATAAGTACGCGAACAACGATTCTGATTTATTCAACAATTTAAAACTTTAATATGCAAGATTTAGTTGATATTGGTTTCCCGGGATCTCCTTGTTCACAAGTTCTTATTTATCGATTACGGGTTCATTGACATTGATGTTTCGATGTTTTACATTTGGCAACATCAATGTTTTAATTTTAACATCGATGATTATCATTTATCATCCCTACTGTGTGCTTTGTTGTCAGCTCGTCTAAATGTCATGTTCATGTATCTTGGTTGTCAGTGTCACCTGTCACAAATTTATATAATTAATATTGCTGTTGTCTGCTGTAAATTGTAAATAAATAAACGGAATTTTCATTTTTACATAATAAATGGAAGGAATTTTATGGAAATGGACAAATTACTGGAACGGTAAGCGGTTTCGTTATACTAATAAAATTAGTTCATATAACAACATTACAATTGTTGCAGGTTGGCAAACAAGATGGTTTGTGTTAGAGAACGGTATTTTATCTTATTATAAATCACAAGAGGAAGTGATTCAAGGATGTAAAGGATCAGTGAAAGTATCAGTTTGTCAAATAAATGGTAATTTGCCTACTTTCGTAGTTCCATAAAAATATGAATGTCTCAACTAATCAATCAATTATATTATTCGTACAATTTTCAGTCAATAATATTGATACTACTCGTCTGGATTTGGTCATACCTGGTCAGCAACATATGTATTTAAGAGCGCCTTCTCCTCAAGATAGGCAAAAATGGCTTGTTGCACTAGGTAGTGCTAAGGCATGTGTAGACTCCCAAATTGACGTACTTGGTATGTAAATACTGTTGTGCTATATACTTTTATTTTATAACCTTATTAATTTAAAAAAAACTTTTCAGCTGCTGGTTTTGATAATTCTATAGGCCATAAAAAATCAGAATTACGACTCTATTGTGATCTGATGATGCAGCAAGTACATGCTATAAAAAGTGCTGCTTCTACTGAACACCCTGAAATTCAGGTAAATTAAAATAAAATTATTAAAATGTTTACTTTTGCATTGATTTTGTATGTTATTAATAAGTTGCCAATAAAATGTTATGTTCTAGGTATAAGTATTTTTGATTAAATATAGTAATTGGAAAAATAACAAGTGTAATTATATTAAGTAATGATCAATGACTTCTGTAAAAAAAAAAACTTCTGTAAAAGTAATTCCAATTAAAATCATCATCAAGCATTAAATCAATTCTTAAAATAAGTTCAGTGTGTCATAAATAAATATTCAGTAGGAAATAATGAGGTTATTTAATACAACCAAACTGGTGCCAATAGAAATTGTATAAGCCCCAATATGGTTCTCGAGGCATGAGCAAAAGTAGGAAATAGTTATACATGCATACACTCTCACACAAAAATACTTGCCTGATTTATCACACTTTAATTATTTGTTATTATGTTTTGAACAATATATTACGAACATATGGCGTGTTGACAGTATAAGAGAATCCATCCTTTTGTTTAGTAGGTGTTGTAAGAAATGACTACAATATGCCAGAAAAATCTTAAGGCTCGATGGCAGGTGGATGTCAGTATAACCATCTTGTTTACATTAGATGGAATTAACCAGAACTGAGATAGGCAGCAGTATCAAAGGCACAACACATCTAATACTCCAATTATCTATCTGCCTGTCAAGCGTGATAATGAAGGCTAATCCTCACTACATCAATCATAGAGGCCTATGTCCAACAATGGACTCTAATAGAAGAAGAAGTGGAATGTGTGATGGAATATAATACCTAGTAATACTGATAATGTACAGAATATGAACTGGAAAAAAATAGGTACCTAAAAATTAACCGAATTAAATTGTTAACAAATTTTCCTTGTACTGTATTAATTCTGTGTACAAATGTAAAAATGAAAGTGTTATTTAAATATTTCAATTAAAAAGTTAAACATTTTTTGGCAATTTCAGTTAAGCTTCAAAAAAATCATACATTGTGCAATTGGAATCCTTTTAGAGATATGAGTAGGTTCTGCTCCGTTTTGATTCTGGTTTATTTTAAAATTAATTGGGTTTTAGTTTATATGTAACTTACTAGTAGCTTTATTGATATGTTTTCATCCTTTATTTAAAAATTAAAAAAGAGTGGGTTCTTTTCTTGAATTTTATAGTCCATTTAACTAATGTGTCATAATTCTACATTTCAGAAAATTGAAGATGCATCAAGTCTTTTAGCAGCAACCTGTGACACTTTTATTAGAACACTTGAAGACATAATGAAACTTGCAAGCACTAGTGGCACTACAGGAAATGTTGCACCATATGAAATGCCTGTACCTAACTTAAATAAAACAAATAGTTCAAACAAAATACAGACTGCTAATAGGAATCCAAAGTCAAGTTTAAATAGGTCATTATCTCAAGATAACAGATAAAATATTTTTAAAAATATCCAGTTTTTTAATTAATTTTTATTATCAACATCATAATAATTAATAACAGAAATTGTTTAGCTAATAACAATGTTCAAGTCATTTTGACTTACTTTACGGAAGAGTAAAAAAACTGTATATTTTATTAAGTTCAAGAGTTTTTAGCTCTTATTAGTAATAGGTGCTCTGTTAATGCTACCAGTACTGCCCGACATAAGTCAACTTTTGATCATTGACCTTCCCCATAGGAGAGTTATTTGCCATAGTTGTCATGCTCTGCAAGGAGTCTTGGCAATCACCGGTTAAATTTTTTTTAGATGTTATTAGAAACACACTACAGCCCATCTCATAGTTTGTATTCCTCTTTTGTCTCTTCAACAACCACAATATAATTTGGGGTGTTGCTTTTTACATTTCGTTATAGGTATTCTAGTTTTCGAGCGCAAGTTCGGCCTCACATGAAATACTGTTCTCATCTCTGGGCCGGGGCAATCCAGTGTCGGCTCTTTCCACTTGCCCGCATCTGGCGTACAGCGGGTCATATCATCAACAACTGAGTTCTTTCTAAACGGCTCGATTCACTGGCACTGCGTAGGGATCTTGCATTCCTGCATTTTCTATTGCATCTACCACAGGGAGTGATCTGAGGAATTGTTCAAATTAATTCCAACCGCCAAATTTCACGAACGCACTTCGCGTCAAAATTCACGATACCGTCCTCACCATCTGGATGCTTTGCGGTCCACCACTATGCATTTTACTAAGAGTTTTCTTCCTCGTACAACTTCTCTGTGGAATTGTTTACCACCGGCGATTTTTCAGAACCGATAGGACTTAGGGATCTTCAAGAAAAGAGCTTACTCCTTTCTAAAAGGTCGGCAACGCACCTGCAATTCATCTGGTGTTGCGGTTGTTCATTGGCCGCGAAAGTCACTTACCATCAGGTGAGCCGCATGCTTGTTTCTTCAATAAAAAACGTTTGAGTAAAATTTTGCCAGTTGGTTTAAGAGCTTTGTATAACATCAGATCTCTCTTAGCCATCTATGTAGTTAATAAATATATTGTTTTAGAAGGTAAATATTTTTACCCTTTAGCTTACCCCTGATGGTGCTGTGTACTTAATCGTACTCCACATGGGGGTAACCTTGTTATAGGGTAGTAAGTAAAATTGTAAATCCACAGCTTGGTTTTACAAACTGAACATCTTGTGTGAACACATGACATTCACATGATTGTGCATTGCATTTGTCAGTGTCTTTTTTTTTAAATTATATTTTTAGCATATATTTCATCAGTGGTGTTTCCAGTTTTGTGACTAGTAAACATCACTGATTTTGATGTTTGTAGAATGAAATAGTTATAAATTCGGTTTCATATATATTTCATTAATTAGTTTTCGGCTAATCAACACATTTTAACGAATGATTTTGATGATTTTTTTTATGTGCATTTGAGTAGGTTTCAGGATGGCTTAGATTCACAGTTATTGGACCCGGTAGGTGGCGCTGTTGTCCAAAGCCGGGGCGGATCGCTATTAATTATATATTATTAGTGTCATGTTCTGGAAAACTGGTTCTATATATTCTCCTGATGTGCTAGCGTGGCAATAATGTGACTTCTTTGGAAGACGTATTCATGTCTACCAGCTTTCTCAGATGTACTTCGGTTGCTTGTTGAAGTAGCCGAGTCTGAATTAATTACACAGTCGGTATTTTCCAGTCAAATTATGTACTTAAATCCTAACTTTATATTTCGTGTCTTTTTGTCTTTAAATTTTCTATTTCCTAAAATGGTAATTATTTTATATGTAAAATCATTTTATCCACTTAAAGTCGGCTATTTATTTTTATTAAAAGTAATTTTTTTATACTCTTAGGTAGGCATTTTGATTGCATGGAAAACAAAGAAATGTATGCCGGTTTCATGGACTGAGCAGTCTTTTACTTTTGTTACTTATTGTATTTTATTGTTTTACTTTGAAATATTCACTCTTATTCGCTTTTATCTCTTCGATATTCCTTATATCTTATCTCTTCGATATTCCTAGTAATGTTCACTGTTGCAGCCTTATTGGGGTGATATTTGCCATTGTTGCCATGCTTGGTTAGTGGGTTGGAAACGGCAGTATTTTTTATTTTTAGTCGTTATATAGGAAGACGCTGTTGCCCGTCTTCTAATTCGTTTCCTTCTGTCGCCTCTCACGACACGCACGGGATGATATGGGGCAGTGGATATTCTTACACCGCCACTGCACGGCACGCAATAATATTCACATTAAATCTTTATTGATATTATGTTGATATTTATTTGGATCCTTTGATGCCTTATTCTGTCTCTGCTTTTGACTTAACAATTTATAGGTTACATCACTCGGAATACCACCTACACTGGTATAAATTGCGAGGAAGCTCCTACAAGAAGGATACTGGACTCTCTGCTACTTATCTTGGCTACTTGTCGCGTAGGTTGGGTGTTGTTTGCATCCTTTAAGACTGAAAGGGTGTCCATATGTAGCATTTTAGCAATACCTTCATTGAAAGCAAGCGACGCGCGAAAGAACAAAATTAAAATATAATTTAAACTAATATGAATAATTATCATACATTATAATCGTAAAAACGATTATCATAATCAAAATATTGTAAAAATACCATTTCTAGAATATTCTTTTTTCTTAACGATTTACGGCTTAAATATATTCAGTCCAACATCTCGCATTGTTGACATAGTCCATCGTCTGTTCAAATCGCTCAACAACCCGAGATTTTTTTCCATCCGTGTCTATTTTATACAGACAGCATGAAAATACCATTTCAAACTCTATCTAAGTCACAAGGTACGCATTAGCAAGATAGTTGATTAAGACCTAAGTTGATAATAACAAACATTTTATTTAAGTTCAATGATATACTTAAAGTGATAAAATAAATATCAACCAAACAGGCGTGAAAAATGAGGACATTTTTTTAATTATACGTACCTATATCGTTATTCACAAAATTATTTATATCACAGTTTTAAGACCTTACAGTTGTGAAACACCCTGTAAAACATCTTTGTGAAACACCTTTGATGTCCGGCGATCCGCTGCCCGCCTAGGTATTTACGCGGCAATGTGTATGGGCGGATTAAATTTTTTGTACCCCCTACTAAAATTATTAACATATTTTTAAGAATAAAAATCTTCCATTAAAATAAATAGCATAGTCTAGAAAATTTATTGAAAATAATGAAATTATATCAAAAACTGAGAAAATCCCCCATTTCGCCGGAAAATACAACGAAATGTGAATCTTTATTAGGATTTAGAATCAGGTTTGTTACTTGTTATAAAAAACAAAAATAAATGAATACACTTTAAAATAATCAAATATTTTAATTTTAAATGCCATCTTGTCAAGTAAGGAAAATAAACAGAGCAATAATTAACACAAATTGGCCTCTAAATTAAAATAAATCATTATTCTCACTGGTTTTGTTACTTTAGTTCTAAGTTAACACCAATTTTTTAGGTCACATAAAATCCAGCATCTTAGTTCAACAAAAATATTATGATCATAAAAGATTATGGTCTTTTCTTTAAAATACCTGCAATATTTACATTTAAAACTCAATTAAATAAGCAAAAAAAAAACACACAAAATATGTTCACATTTTTTTTTTGGGACAGTAACAAAGTTGACATGTTCAAAATTGTAAAGACACGTTGTCATGATTGAGAACTATTAAACTATTTTCTTATTAAGTATACATTTTTATTATCTCTGTAACCTGTGTTTTACTTACTCTTTTATTCTTATATTCGCTAGATATGACACATATTTAGTCTATTCATTTACAAAAAATTGTATAAATGATTTTTTATTTCACAATTAGCTTTACATTTTTAAATCACATCTATAAATCATTAGGAACACACTGGATTTGCACATCAAACACCTACCCATAAAAAATAACATTAACTGTTTTATTTCTCTCATATATAATATAATTTACTTTGTACCTATTTCTGTTTGTAAGTTAATAAAAGAGGATACTAACTTAAAATATTTTCCAAACCTTATTACTATTATTACTTTATAGAAAGTAGTTTTAAACTTCCCATATTGGCAATATCATCAGTATACGTCACTGACCAATGACTGATTGCTTATTATTGTTATATTTTATATATTTTTAGTTATTGCCTCAATTTTCATATAAAATTTCTTATTTACAGATTTTTCTGATTGGGTTGGAGGGGTATTGGGCTCTTCAATTACATATTTTTTTTGGGTTTTCTACTTTTTCTTTGATATTCTTTCCACTTTTCTCTTTGCTCCGTTTTTTCTGTCATGCTCATTTCGGAAACTTTCCTTTTTTAATTTTATTCTTTCCATATTGCGCTTTCGCTGAGCTTCATACTCGTCAGGCCGTTCTTTTTTCAAAGTTTCTCAATACCTTTTAATTTTTGCAGCGGCAGTGAGCGGCGTTATAAAGCCTAAAACATCAGTAACTAATGAGCTTGAATTTCAGTAAAACTCGATAATTATCACCTCCTTACGATAAAAATACCTACCCAATTTTTTTCTTAATCATGTAACTCAAACGAATGAATTAATAATAATAATTTGTGACAAAAGACAACAATATAACTTATAAAGATGAAATTGTAGTAAAATGAATAAATTTAAATTATTAAATAAAATCAATATAAGAATTTTTAAATAAAATTTAAATAAATAAAATCAATATAAGAATTTTTAAGTGAAATTTAATTATTAAATAAAATCAATATAAGAAACAGCACCGTGTAAACGTCACTTTAGCAGTCAGGTTGGTTACTTTCTTGGTCAGCCTAAACGTTACTATGAACACGGTAACCAAACTGAAGTAACGTTTTGCGGTCCTCGTATATTATAATGTTTATAAAAAGAAAACAGTGAGTATATAAGCATTTGTAATAGCTTATATTTCATCTTCAGATTGTAATGCATGACTCTAAATACTATAATACGGACATACATATTAAAAATCAATAAAAATTCGATAACTTACCTTGACAAATATATTGAAGTAACTCTTGCGTAACACAACACTCTCGTCCTTTTAGACTATCACAAATGAACACTGTTTTTAAAAAATGGCAGTTTGATAATTGAACGTTCATGTTGCCATTACCATGAATAAAAATATGTAGTAGTTTAAAATAATGTTCTAAAATGAGTAACAATACTTGACATGTCAGGTGAACCTAAATTACGACCTGTTATTTAAAATTATTTCTTAGTACCCGGATGACCGAGCTTTGCTCGGTTTTTTTAAGTTACATTTCTATACAAATTACATGAATAATAGTTTTTGATCTTATTGACATAATAGAAAAAACTGAACTGGTTATTTGAATAAAAAATCATGAGTGCAATTAGTTTAATTAAAATTTTCGTATTATTAAAAAATACTAAAAAAGGGCTCGAAATAATAGATTTTCACACAAAAGAAGGGAATTTGAAAAAAAAAAAAGGAAAAATAGTCGGACCCAAGACGGGACGCGACCACGGAACTCCGATATCACGCCCGAACAACATCCCATCTGAGCTATTACAATCGTTGGTAACCTGTCAAAATTTACCTTCTTATATTGTAGCAGTTTTTTTATTGCCTGAAAACATGGACAAAAGGACATTTTCTAAAAATAAATCCTAGCTAGATCGATTTATTGCCCCCGAAACTCCCTGGACACTAAATTTTATGAAAATCGTTGGAGCCGTTTCCGAGATCCCGATTATATATATATACATATACACAAGAATTGCTCGTTTAAAGGTATAGGAATTATACATAATATACTGCAAGTTAATGTGTTTTATTACGTTTAGATATCACTGTTTATGATTTACAATTATAACTGTCGTATGCTTTCATAGGAAAAAGGAAAGTAATTTCAAGATTTTGTTACCATTTTACTCATGGGACAAGTAAATCAGTGGTCTTTCATTATAAAAAAAACTCTTTTTAATTAATTGATTGCATGAATATCTATTACTATTATTTTAAGTACTAGTTTACAAATTGAGTTACCATCTAAATCCAGTATTTTATTCAACACTACGATTATATTTAGAAAAAAAAATATTTAATTATGTGGGACACACCGATTTAAGAGGGGGTCAAAAAAATTGAAACCGCTCGTATGCTAGGTGTTGCCACGAAAATAGAAATAAAATGATTTTGGATATTATAGTACATACTCATTGCCAAAAATTTTCGTGACACTTTCTTTTTATAGATGTTTTCAGTTTTCGATTGTTAAATTTTATTATGTCATTCGCATTCGGATAATTTTATCAACAATAAAATGAGGGAAACATCATTTGTCTTGAGCTTCGTCATAACTGCCAGCAGTGAAGGTCCACTTTTCAGATCCGTATTTATAATATACCAATTATTATCCAATCTCACACATAGGTACATCAACTTATGTAAATGTAAAATATAAATAAAATAAATTGTCCGTCTGTAACATCTTAATAACTGCCTTCTATTGAATTGAGGAAGTTCTTTCGTTTATTTGCATTATACATACCTACAATTGATAAACTTTTTTCTAAATTTTGCAGGAACAGTTAGAGAGCAAATCTAGGCTACTTTTTTTTGAGAAATGCCGAAAAATTTATAAAATAAATGGTTTTTGATGATTATCTTAAATATAAATAAAAAACATTCCATATTTTTTGAACGAAAAAGAATAGTAGACTGTAAAGCAATATCCATACTCCATCAGTTTTAGTATTTACCAAAGACTATGTACACTTTATATAAGATCGCGTGATGATGAAAATTATGATGGCAGTTGTATTTTTATTTATGATAGTTACTATTTTAGGCAATAACTATCAATAATAGTTACTATTTTTAGTAATATAAATATAGTTAACTATGAACTATTATTCTCGCCTAAAGGAGTTGAGTTACGGAGAATTGACCGCAACTTAGTGCGCAATGTATTAAAGCCACATAGGTCATGTAATGTATGTGTGATGTGTGTGTGACTTTTAACTATATTTTTTTATGTTTATTAGTAATGTTATGCATTTGTTCTATTCTATATTAAACCATGTCCATTAAATAGATGTTACATATTGTGTAGTAAACATGTTAATTAAAATGTATAATAAAATTTAATATATTTTGATATGCCTACAAATAAAAAAAGGTTTTTTATTTATCTTTTTATATAAAATTAGCATTGGTTTTTTTTAAATATAAGAGAACACAATTAAGCTGTGAAATATGTATATAAATTACACTTCCTACTTATTTATGATTCCACTGTTAAAATTTATTTTAACTTATATATTCATTGAAAGTAGTGTTTTTTTTTTGCAACTAATATTTTAATTAAATTACCAAACTGGTTCACCAAATCTTAGAACAGTCTTCTCTTGAGCATCCAACTCCATTCCTACTTTTTTCCTCATATAAAAAATTGTACAATCTCTATTTGTACA